TCCAACCTCCGAAGTCCTGAACACCAAGTTGTCCCCGGAGAAACCCCCAGGGACAATCCTTCAGGGTTTAGGGTTCAGGGTTTAGGGGTGGCTGGACGACGCTGAGCCTGAGCCTGATAAACAGACCTGGGTCATGCGGACCAACTTCACCCGATGAACTCGTCAGCTTATTCTTGTCCAAGCTTCGGCCAGCATCGCAACCAGACCAAGTTGCATCAATGCCTTACCGCTTCAGCGTGCCAACAGAGCACTTCCAAACTACTCGTGATGGTTAATTCATAAGCACTGTAGAAATTAGTAAAACCGTACTAGCTGATTTGCTCTTGTAAAACAGTGCTGCGGCTGAGGCGCAAGTCGCGTCAGGGTAATGTCATCCGCGAGGGGAGCAAGGCATACAAAGCCGATTTGGAAGAGATACAGGAGGACTCCAAAGATAGCCTCATGGGGCTCATAGGGTTTAGGGTTCAGGGGTTAAGGTTTATAGGGTTTAGGGTATCTTAAAACAGAAAGTTAGAGGACTCCGGTGATGGCCTCAAGGTGTAAGAAACCTCGCATCTCAAAGAAAGATGTCTCAGGCTTCTCGCCTGCCTGGTCGAAGTACTTCGCCGCGGTCAGTTCCTTCGCCTCCTCCAGGATCTCTTGGCGGCTGAACTCGAAGATCACACACGCCTCATCTTTTTGGTTTAGGGTTTAGGGGTTTAGGGGTTTAAGGTTTTAGGGTTTTAGGGTTTTAGGGTTTAGGGTTTAGGGTTTAGGGTTTAGTACAGTATAGCATAGCATAGCATGGTACAGTGCAGTAGAGTACAGCACAGTATAGCATGGTATCGAATAGTACTGTTGATGATATAAATCCTGCATTACCTTCAGGACCATGAACTACGGGGATTATGGTATATTCCTTATTATGGGTAATGCAGGACTTATATCATCAGCCGTATTAGTCGTATAGTATAGTATTTTATAGTATAGTAAAGTATAGTAAAGTATAGTAAAGTATAGTAAAGTATAGTAAAGTATAGTAAAGTATAGTAAAGTATAGTAAAGTATAGTATAGTGTAGTGCAGTGTAGTGTAGTGTAGTATAGTGTAGTATTATATGACATATTACAATATAATATAATGAAAAATGACTGAACCCGACGGAAGGTATCAAGCGAGCAAAGCTTGGTTTTCTCGTCAAGGGGCGGAACAAATGAGCCCCAACAGCAGGAGAGAACCCGACACTCTGCAGCGTGTCTTGCCCAGCACACGCCGACCTAGGCTCTCGGGACTTTGCATGTGCCATGCTGCGGCCATGTGCGGTTCTCATGTCGCAAGACCTGTCATTTCACCTTCGGCAGACCCCCCTGTGTCAGGATTGCTAGCTGAAAGACCCTTCGCACAACAGAGGCCCGTGCCGTTGGTGAGATTGTGCCTCATAAGAGCTAGTTTCGTCGCGCTGCGCGTCATCACCGTCCTTGTGGCGGTGACTGCCATTTCCTCATGCCAAAGCAGCCCGTCAGAGCTTGAAAAAAAATAAGCGAAACACAGAAGCCTAAACTACGAACTCTAAACTGTGAAGCCTAAATAAAACCCCAAACCTCCCCAGAGGCCCCAAAGCGTGGGGAGAAGCCTTGCAGACCAAGGTACTGAGCTGCTGGAGTCTGACACTTCGCTATCCGAGATCTCAGACGTCGAGGCATCCTCCATGCCACTCCCGGACTCATCAGAAGAAGAAACGGTCCTGGGTTTAGGGTTTGAGGGTTTAGAGTTTAGGGGCCTAGGGCCTAGGGTTTAGCAGCGCTTAGAGAGGCAAGGCTAAACCATCATGGAGCTGAGGTCAGGACCCGCACTTGCCATGTGCAAACGCCATCGGGCCACCAGTTGCCAGGAGGCCCAGCGCAGGAAGTGCAGGCATGGCCAACTGCCGCGATGTCAACTGCGACTGCACATGGAAAGGTCTTAAGGCTTACTGCTGCGTAATATTCTGTTTAGGTGCACAGATCAGAGAGGAAATGGCTCGACTGCAACAGATCAGATGCACAAACGGTTGAGCCAGACTCTCTCAGGCATCTGCTTGAGTTAAAAATGGGGACAACCCGATGCTGCTTGAAGCTGCAGGCAGTTCGCACCACGGCTCGGCACGGTGTGGTCGCGGACTCCTACAATAAAAGACAAGACACCCGTCCCAACCCGAATCCGAGTTCACGAAATGGAACCAGAAGAGAAGCTCCTGCATCATTGAGAAAGCTTCTGCAGTCTGGCCAGGTCTCGCAGCTAAGGTTGGCGGAACCTGAGAAGAAAGAATCTCTGCAGCTAGCTTCATGCAACAGCGGAACAGGGCCCGTGCTGCCAGCACAGCGGGTGCTGTGGCCTCAGGCGTTGGGCAAGGGTTTCCGGGCAGCATCTTGGGCGCATGCTGCTGAGCCCCTTGCCAGCGGAGCAACCCATGCTGGTGGCGGAGCCGAGGTAAGTGGTAGATCCTGAGAAACTTGCACAACAGCCAAACTAGTCAGAAGATGGTTCACTTGGCACATGATGTGAAGCACCATGCCTCCCCGCGCATGCGCTGGACCGAAAGAGCCGCACTGCGAGTGCCAGCTGGTGGACGCCTACAGAGTGTGGTGTGGGTTTTCCGCAGAATTCTGCTCGAGGATGCCAACTCCCACCAGGACTCCACAAGCGCAGGTGTCAAGCTTCGAAGTGGCTACCCCTGGCTACCCGCTACCCAAGCCCCAGGCCGATCTTCCATCAGAGCAGCCGCCTGTCGAATACATCAACACAACACGCAAAGTTCATTGCAATATGCGTGTCAGCCCATGGAAGTGTGGGACAACACGTCCCTCTTCATGCACACGAAATAGAAGCCTAAGACGTGAGCTACAGAACTGAAGCCAGGGTGTAGCCGTGCAGCCTCTGCTGTGTAGAACGCTGGTGTGACTGCAGCTCCTGATTCTGCAGAAAGGCAGGTGAAGAAATGCCAACATGCAGCCGGGCCCCAGGCCTGCAGTGGCCACCGGTGCCGGACCTTGACTTGAACTATGAGCGCGAGCATTTCTGGCTCTGGGACGTCCTACCGCTGAGGCGAGGACTCGTGACTCGAGGGGTCGGCGGAGAGGTGGGCGAAGCCTCGGTGTAGCTGTGAGATTCTCTTGCGAGACTTCCTCAGGACTTCGAACCGAGGCTGAGACAGCTTGGATGAAGGGCCTCATGTGCACCATAGGAGTCGCCTGGGCTGAGAAAGCTACTTCTGCGCAGTGCCTGAGTGGCTCGGTACCTTTCGACGAGGCGCAGGGCTCGAAGGCGGAGGGCTCAAAGTGCGAACCAGAGGAGCGACTTGAGCGCCTGCAGGCCATCTCCCAAAGAGAATCGCAGCAGTCGCCTGCATCTACTTGCCTGCGTTGCCCGATCTCGGAGTTTGCGGTGCCCGCATCAGCCGTGCCGAAGCTGTGGCTGGTGTCACCGCTGTGACTGCGGTGACAGCAGCTGCTGCGCCTGGCCCCATGATTGCATCATCGTGCGACCACACTCCAAGTCATCTGTCAGTTCTTACGCTGAGCCTGAGGGCGATGTGGCCCGCCGCACACGAGTTGCGGCCTCGTTGCGGCTCTTGACAGTGTCTGCGTTTGCTGGTCTGACTGCACAGTCGGCTAGATGCTTTTCTGTTTTCAAGCACGCACATGTTCGGTGTGGTTTCGATGGTCACTCTGCAATGCGCACCAAGCTAGAGGTGCGGAAAATGAACAAACGATGCGGGGCATCTCGTCACCCGAGTTTAGAAAACCAACGGGCCCTGGAGAACCCTCATAATCCAGCTCCTCAGGGCATGCTTTGATCAAACTTTCAAAGGGATAAGCCTCACCGAGTGCTAACAATCAATTAAATGCCACTTCAGCAGGCGCCGACTCAGTCAGGTCGACTTCTTCCTCGGAAGGCAATGGGCCGGTGAGAGGGACGTTAAACCGCTCCTTCAAGAGAGCCGCTTGCAGGAGAGTGTCTTGGCTCGAATCACGTACACTGGATCTTGAAATCCAAGGCGGCACAAGGGACTCGACAAGTCCTTATACCGTGGCTCCAGCTCGCTGCTCGTCACTGAAGGCACCCTCTGGCACGCTCGGCCTCGCCCTCTCTGGCAATCAATTCAAGGAGCCAAAGCTTCAGGCTCCTCGAAGGAACCAGCATAGTGCCTCAAGCCCAATACATGGCGCAATTGCAACGGCTTCACTTCAATGACTTGCTCGAACAGCCGGGGTGCATGTAGCTACCGTAGATGAGCACCTTGTCAGTCATTTGACCAAGCGACCGTGACATGCTGACTTTTTCAGGTTCCGAAGCCTCAAGAAACTTTGAACCCCAACATCTCTGTTTGACAGATACGACAACATGTGATTTTCTGGACAAGTTTGATGAACCGAGTGTATGAGCCAATGGCCTTATGACAAACACTGCTTTTCTCACCCTGTGGTTGGATTTCGAAGAGCAGCCTGAATCCTTACCAGAAAGGTTCGACACTCGGGCAGTGACAGTTCGTCACCAACGTCCCGAAAGAACCTTCGGTTAGATCCATACGCCCTTCTTTACAGGGTGAGGTGGACGGGAAAACAAAAGAAACCACTTCCAGCCGATACTCCGCATCGGTCGCAGTGCAACTTGTCAAAAGGTGCATGATGAACTAATCGACAAGTTTGATGAACCGTGTGTATGAGCCAATGGACCTATGACTAGCACTCTTTTTCTCACCCCCTGATTGGATTTCGAAGTGCAGCCTGAATCCTTACCAGAGAGGTTTGACACTCGGGCAGTGGCAGTTCGTCACCGCCTCGTCACAGCCCGAAGCCCCAACAGGTGTCGAGGCTCTACCGCCGCAAACCTATCGGAAGCACCACTTCAAACCTAAGACAGCGGAGGGGGCACCCTCAACCGCAAAGTCAAAGTCTTGCACGACTCTGATAAAAATCAACCAGGGGTCCCGAAGATCGGACTGAAGTGAGGTCCGACCCCGTTCACGGCCTATTCGTGCATCACCGCGCGAAAACGGAACTGCAATGTTGAGAAGACTCGGTACTCACTCAAACTGAGGGTGCCAGCCCTTCAGCGATGCCAGCGACCAGAAGCATGCCAGCAGGTTGTTAACCACCTGCTCTTTCCATATCCTTTGGCAAACGCAGCCTTGCCAGCCGAGTTGTCACAGAAGTAGTACGGACACAGAATGTCGTGACAAGTGATCGCTGCCACTATCTGTGCCAACATCTCCAAAGCATAAATGTAAGCCTTTCGACTAGAAAAAGAAAGGCAAAACTTAAGCAGGAACCGCCCCGACACCGAAGCGAACTCCCTGACTGGATCTCACCACGAAACCCCAACCCTTGCGAAACTGACAGCTGGAACGAGCATGCCATGTTGATGGTGGCTCGTCCGAGAGCCCGAATGATGCATCGCCCAGCTCAAAGAATGGGTCAGCGTAGAGCACAGCATGAGGTTCAGAGCTGCTGTCGAAAGGGACCGCTTGGGTCGACAATCACACAGCAGCCGTGCCAGAGCCTTGAGGGAACATCTCAGAGTAGTGTTCAAATGAACCGAAGCCCCGCCCTGAAACTCATGACCCCGCGCAGCCCGCGCATGAATCGGTTTCAACGCTGATGCATCTGATTGCCCGAACAAAGTCTCTGAAGGAAGTTCAACCTCAGGCTCCAAGCAATCCTCAGCCAAGGCACGCTGAATAGTGGGTAAGACTTTAGCCACCCTGTCCGGTGATGGGGCCAAGCGTACCCCATCGCGACACATCTCCAGAAGTACGCCCAATAACTTACGCCGCTTATCCGGTGGTTGTGCCTTGCCCGGCTTCTAGCGCATGCACAGAATCTCACACAATTCAGCGAACACCAAGAAACCTGAATCTGCGCGGAAGTCGGCGTCCGGACATCCCATGTCATCCATGTAATGTATGATGAGTAGCAGCAAGAGCGTGCCAGCAAGAACACCCAGAGCATCCACACATCGATTAAGACACCAAGCTGAAGAAGCAGCCCCGAAAGGAAGAACCGAATGGCACCACAACGAGGGGCCATGCGGCGTCGCCAGCAGTGTAAAAGCTGTTTATAAGCCGCCCAGAGGCCCAGAGATCTTGACACCAAACCCGGGCGTCAAATCCAGCTTGCTGCAATCTCTGTATGACGCTGACATATGTATCTGTATGTATGGAGTCGTGTGCAGGGATGTCACGCACAGAACTGGTCGAGCTGTGATGGCTACGACAATAATCCTCAGATCGGCGCACCTTCTTGGCCCCGTCACTGTCAACTTGAGTGACTGAGAAGGCTCCTGCCGCGGAGATCCGATCAAAAGTTAACGGAAGACATCGCTGAAAATCCGCGCCTGACGCTATTGCCACGCACCTTCGTGGCCAATCCGGCGGGCCTCAAAGGGCCCCTTCATGCGGCCAACGCGCACCTCATCTAAGATTTCTGCAAGTAGCGACGACCACTCCGGAGAAAGCCTGCCTTTCTGAAGTTCCTCGAAGACACAAGCCCTGTTCAGCACAGCAAAAGTGTCGGCCGAAATGGGCGCAGTGTACTTGTCGTGCAGCCGCGGTCTCCAACCAGGCGTGTTACCCATCTCTCTAGTCACTGGAAAACCCTTCGTCGAGGCCTCCTCAAAAGAATCGCAATCCGGGTAACCACAACCTCGGAGCAGTGAGATGAACAAAGGGAGTTGAACTATATAACTATATACCTGTCTGGCAAAGTGTACGCACGCTGCACATGGGGCCAGGATTGGGTTGAATGCTTCATCCCATCCCATCTGGCACGAATATCAGCGATGACCCGGGAACGAATTCCAGCTATGGCCTCGGGACCCATTGTAACCAATCGCTGCAAGGTCAACTCCAGCCCTGGATCCAAAGAAGGCTTCAGGAGGACGGGGTGAATGGCTTGAAAAGCTGACTCCCAACGTTCCCACATGCCCTGAACCGGGACCATGCGAGCATGCACTTGCAACTCGGCTGCCCTCCACACGGGCACCGGAAATTTCCCGGCGAACTGCGATGCCGAGGCTAGGTCTTGCATGGCCTTGGCTCCCTCGCCGCTCTGGCCAAAAGGGCACGGCAAGGTGATGACACCATGCTGCAACATATAAAATCGAGCGTCTGCTGCACAGCATCCATGTGCCAGCTATTCCCCAGGAGGCGATGTCTATCCTTCTCGGTCACACGACAGCTCGATGTGAAACCACGGTCAAAGTGACGTAGGGCTGCTTTCGTCTCAACGAGAACGGTATGGAAGCAGCCACTGCCGTGCGTGAGCATGTTCCGCTCGCCATAAAACCATGGGGCGTATTGCCTCCGATCCTCCAGCCAGCGATTGCGCGTCGGCGTGTCGATCTTCGTCTTCACGCGCTTGGGCGCTGCCCTGCCGCCTTCGGTCATCGCAGGGGTGGTGAGGCATGCAGGGGAGAAGGTGCGCCCCTTGCCGAACCTCGTCATGGAACTTCAGCCTATCCGGCTCCATGTCCTCGATGGAGTCAGCCTGCACCTGCAGTTGGAGCTGCGCCAGCTTGTTGTGCAGTTTCTTCCGGACAAGATGGTCCGAGGTGCGGGGGTAGAGCTGGATGTTGGGCCATGGCCCCACGTCCACCACAACCTGGGGCGGATGATGACTTTTTGTCGGCCGCATCCACCATCATTGGCTCGGCCTTGAGCTCCCTGGAGAAAAAAACTGCACATCGCCCGCACTCTGCATCGCTACTTTCTAGGCCAGGCGCGGCGGCCCGGGAAGTGGGCCGGCAACTTCTGCAAAAATTTGATGAAGTGCACGACAGGATCACCAGAGTCGCCTTCTCGACAGCCACCTGAGGCATTCAGCCTGCTGAAGTCAGGGAGCTGCCGCCGTGATGAGCGCGAAGAGGCGAGCTGATCGGCAATCCAATGTCCTGGCAGCCAAAAGAGATTGCAAACTGTCCCACAGTCAAAGGCGGGGGCACTCGGGTGGGTGGCGAGCGAAAACCCTCCTTTCTTTCCAAGCCAACGATCAGACCTACGACGAGAGCTGCTGGATGACGAAGACGAGTCAAGCGAACTCGAAGCGGCCCCACTCCCTGAGCCGTTCCCCTCAGCCTCACCGCTGGGGGCATCCGAAGGAGGAAAGCATTTCTTGCATCGGGCCCACTCCGGCCGCTCGCTCCTTGTCCTGAACAACCGCGCGTTCCCGTAGAGAATTGGACCACAAGACTGGGTCGTGAGCCTGCTCCGCTTGATCTGGTTTGTGTGCTTTGCGCGTCCTGCTGTTAACCAACAGAGATTCGCCGTGTGACATGGCCTCTGCAAGACCTTAAACTCAAGCCGCAATGATGCTCGCTCGCTCTGGGCCTCCACTGCCCTGTCAGCCAAAAGCGGGGCACACGATACCTCCTCGAACTCCTCCACGTCGATCGCGGCCGGTGCTGCCTCGGCCGTGGGAGCTTCCGTCCTCGGCACCGGTGCTCCTGATGACAGGGCCGGAGCGACTGAGGAACTTGCAGCAATGGCTCGCTCTACAGATACCTCTGTATGGCCACGGATGACCATCTACCGTGAAGCTGGACCAGATCCCAACGAAGCCCCAGCAGGTACAAATGTTGTTTGCCCCACACTCTGAGCACATGTCCGCCCAAGCGTTCGATGAGAGCACCGATTTCACTCTGCCTGGTAGCGCCGATCCCTGCTTGCCTCAGTGTCTCACGAATGACGGCCACCATCTGGCTCTTACTCAAAACCTCCCCCTTGGGTCCTGGAAACAGCGGGACTGCTGAACCAACAGCACTCTGGAAGATTTGATACGGGCAGAACGGCTGCGAGCAACACCTCTAACTGCCACCTCTGCACCCTTTCACGCAGAAGGGCGGGCTGATTCTCCCGTGCAGCATCCAATGTGACGACATGATCCTTAATGCATGCTGGTGCAATGTCTGGAAGGCCGCCTATCCTAAGAACCTCCCAACAACTGGCCGCCGAGGCCATTGAGCCGAGGGGCTAACCAAGGCACACGATAGTCACTGAACCCTGATTCTCCCGGCAACCCGCGGTCCTCACCAACGGAAGCCGAAATGCGATTGAGAGCAGCGGCAGCCCCGAGCTCCCGAGATGTGGTTCTTGGAACAGGAACCGAGCTCGCACCGGCACTTCCTCGGAACTGGCGTCACCTGGATTCAAGGCGGAAGTTCCCCTTGGCTGAAGCACTGCGCTGCCCACAGGGTCCATGCTGTCACAATGCAATAAGCTCGTCAAGAGATCCACCAGCGGAAGCAGCTGCATCGCCTCGCTCCTGTCTACCCAGCTGTGCACAGCAAGAAGAGCATACCTCGTCTTCTCCAATGTGCGGTCGTAGATCTCCAAGGCTTGCAAGCCACTCAGCACCGAAAGCGATGCCAACTGTTTCCACGCAAACTCCAGCGCAGCTCGTGAGCACGACTGGCCCACAAGGAGAAAACAAAAGAAGGCACTTCGAGCCGATACTCCGCATCGGCAGCAGTGCAATTTGTCAAAAGGTGCATGCTGCACTAATCTACATATCACCAGACCTTCAATCGTGGAACCGGCGGCGATCGTCTGAGATCCTCACATGCTCCAAATCACCAGTTTGCAGCCAGATATTCACTGCCTGCGGTTGCCACAACAATCATGGCTTTGCGAGCCGAGAACAGCTATCCCGTAGTTTAGGATTCGGAGTTTTGTGGGACGAACCGCTTCTTCTTCTTTCTGATGAACAACTGTAGCTCCCTACGTCCAGCCCTAAAGAAACTATCAGCGCACGCGTCCGCCTTGGTGGGGAAACATCGGTTGCTGGTGGAGAGGATGACCATTCCACCCGGCTTCAGGACTCGACCCACCTCCTTCATCACCTCCCAAAATCGGACACAGCAAGCGGAGCAAAGCGTACGTGATCGGCCTCAAGGGGCTTGTTCAGATAATCGAAGGACACCGTGCAGGTGACAATGTCGAAACTCCTAGACCGTGAAAAGCCAAGCTTGCTAGACTGGCTCTTAGTACCAAAATGCCATAGTACCGTATTAACTGCTTGGCTGAATGCCAAAAAGATCTGATCTGAGCGCTCTTCGAGTCATCGTAAGGCAGCTTGGGATTGTCGTTCAGGTCCCGGACCTGAAGGGTCGCTGGACCCGAGAAGCATTAGGGTGACAAGTCACTGGACCCAGACGCATTTCGACAGAGACGAGCTCGTTCAACCTCATTCAAGCCAGCTGCTGTGTAGTCGTCCGCCTGCTTGTTCTGAGCCAGCTCATACTCCTCGAGCGCGTCTGCGACTGAAGCGTGAGAGAAAAGAAGATTCTGGCCGAGTTGCATTCATACCAGTGATGGACACCTGGGATTGTGCACGCAGGCCTGCCTCAATGCTGGGCACACCCCGACTGTGCTCCCCTTCTGTCACACCGTGTCCAGCGGCATGTGACCATGTCTTCTCCGTCGGATAATGGCTAATCCAGCTAGAGCAAATATCCTGAGATGCGAGATGCAACACACTTAGATCGATCCCAGAATGCCGCATGCTCTTCCGCTTGTTGGAAACACAAGCTGTGCTCTGAAAAACTTGCGAAGCAGTTCAGTTTGGACTGTTGCTGGCTGAATCCTGCACGAAGCTCTCGTTCAGGCAGTGTCTCTGGCCCGGTGACTGGTTACAGTTGCACTTGAGAAGCTGCAGTCCGCGCATGCCCGAGTGCAGCTGGGAGTCAAGAATTCGTGCCTTAGTTGAAACTGTTTCAAAGAAGTGAACGTGGCCAAGCAGAGCATAGCTCCACGTCATGCGCAAGCTGCATTTGGAAATAAAGGAAAGACTTCCCCATAATGCTTCGTCAGTGTTGCGATGAAATTGTCCTTGGCGTCGGTAGAACGATGTTGAAAGTGAACGAACCCTACGGCGTTCACCCGGCTGCGTCACGAATGCAGCTGGTATCTGCACAGCAAGTAGACTCAACTCTGATAAACTCGCCCGAATTTCGAGCTTGCCTCTCACCGTCCCAATTCAGCAAAACGTCATCAACATGTGTACAAATCCTGGGCTGCGAGTAGAACCCGTTGTCCGACGACTCATCTTGACGGGCGAAGTCCGCCTGATCCCACTCACAGGGTTTAGGGTTTAGGCTTTAAGCCATCAACACAGCCCGGCAGAGCGCACATCTGTCTTAGGATCTCCTGGCCTCCGTGTAAGGCCACTCTGCAGGCCACTGAACCTTTCAGGCTTCGCACTCGAAACCCTAAACCATAGCCCGGAAGGTTGAACCCTAAACCCGAAATCCTCCCTGGTTAAACCCTGAACCCTGAACCCTAAACCCGAAACCTTAAACCCAAACCCAAATTCTGACATGTCTTCGTTCCTTCCTGCCTTCCTGAGCAGCTCCGGAGCGTCGCCCGCCACGACGAAGGATCCTGGCCAGCCGCCCTGGAAGCCAAGGTACGGGCGTGGAAACGTGACAAATCCACATGCATTATAGACAAATATACGGACATACATACATACATACATACATACATACATACATACATATATATATATATGTATATTTGGTAAATAACTGAAGGGGGTAGCATAGATATATATATATATATGTATGTGTGTGTGTAATATTGTTTATAAAAGTATGCAGTTGTGCAGCTATTCCTGTCGTCTGTCAAGTCTGCTTGGACCTGCCTTGGCCTTCTTGGCCGTCTTTGCGTTCCCCGGCCTCAGGCAGCTGAGCAATGCCAACATGCAAGAAGGGGTTTAGGGTTTAGGGCCAGGTTTTTTTTTGAGGGCCTTTTGCCGTCTTGCCAGAAGTCGGAGAGCCTAGCGTTAGGGTTGTTTCGGGTTTAGGGCTTAGGGGTCAGGCTTTAGAGCTTTTTCGATGGTGTTCGGGCTTAGGGCCTTTGCGGTCTAGGGCGTCAGGGCTTTTGGGGCTTTTTCGGACTCAGGGCTTTTCAGCATTTTGGCTTCTTTCGGTTTTCAGGATTTTTGGGGGTTTATACCTAAACCCTAACCCTGAACCCTAAACCCTAAACCCTAGGGATTGAAGGGTTTAAAGGCCTCTGAGCTCGGGACCTCTTGGAGTCTCTCGCGGTCCAGTACCCAACGCCCATCGCCGCCACACAGAGACCTTTCACTTCAGATGCTATATTTACTTCTTTATAATGATATTTATTTATTTATTTAGATATTTATATACATACATGTACCATCCCACGTCCACGCAGGCCTTGCTGCCAGCTGTCCGGAGCCCTGGAACGCGGCGCAGGCGTCACTGATGCTCGGGGGGCGTACAGCCGCTGCCTCGTCTACATGTCTCACCTAGGACACACCGGGAACCTTCTGAATGAATGGCATCGTAAGCAGTGCACGCGCTTGGGCTGCTGGGGCCGCTAGGCAGCAAAGCCATGGCACGTTGAGGTCAAACAGCTGCCACAACAATAGCAGGTACACATAGCTTTCCTTCCTTGCTGTTGTGATTTCCTGTGCATTCCATGCCCCCCCACCCTGAGCTCCAGAGTCCCCTGCGGTCGAAGCATTGATGTCAAGCAGCTGTGACCTGTGAGCGCGGAGGCTGCGAACACTTCGGACACGACTAGCGGCAGGCTCACAAGGCGCGCCTCAGGTGCCGAAGAGTCACAGCCAGCTCCTGTTTCCTGGCTGCTCGACATCTCCCCAGCATGTGGCAGAAGAGATAATTACTGTCGACCGTGTGGCTTCTATATGCGTCCCAGAATTCATCAAAACCTGAAGCCCTCACAGGCAAGCCAATGAAAGAGGCACAAGACTCGACAGACTTTCTCATATTCGATATGTGCGTCCACACGCGCTGATAGTTGTGAGGCACAGCTTGCCACAAGGAGAGTTCATCACATGTTTTCCGTCCTCCAGTCATTAGACCTCTCGGCTTCTGCCAGCCTGCAAGATCAAGATCCAAACGCGAATGCAGCGCCCATTCCACTCCTCACTTAGGAGGGCTAAACCTTCTGAGGCAGGGCACGACTGCTCGCAGGCTCGCATGAGCTCGTTCTCTGCCGGCACCGGCGCAGGCACACTAAGCACCTGGCACCTGGGTCGAACCACTCCATGTCTGGTGCGCCCCAACCCTAACGGCCCAACATCTCATGATGCACCCGGACAGCTCGGCAGGCACCGAGGATGCAAGAAGCCGAGACACCTTTGCAATGGGTCAACAAGTGATTTCACGCTGCTACAGACGGGACTCTGACGGGACCTCAACTAAGGACCTGACGACCTGCGGAGCATAGCTGCCCTTGGCCACTGATCCATTCTCTGTCGCTCGACGAACCAGACTGCAAGCATGTGGCTCCCCGTAAAAAGGCTTCCAGCATCACTTTGCAACACAACAACATTACGCATACTGCAAGCGGAGACTCGCCTTCTGGCATGAGCTGACATGCCATTCTCCAGAAGCCTTGTGCTTAGGTTCCGCACCGTGAGGCCGTAAACCACCGAAGGGCGAGGCAGGCCTCTGGCACCTGATGCTTTGCAAGATGGCATCTGCCTCGAAACAAAACCAGACAACAGACAGATGAGCTTGGGGCCAGGAAGTGCCGCAGATGAGGAAGGATGAGCTGGCAGGAACAGGCGCAGCACGGATCGTTCCCACACCATGACTGAAAACGAACTCGGTGCTCGGTCATGTTTTGGCTACAAGTGTCCGGCGGTCGGGCAATGTGAGGAAGGGAGAGAAAGCCGCTGCTTCAACAGCCCACCAGCGACCGCCGGGTGGCAAAAACACTTCGTCAAGCTACCCGAGGAACTTAGTCTTGGCGTCTTGCCACTGCAGTGGACATGCTGGACCTCGTCTTGTATTACGTGTCTGCTTTGAGGGAGACTCCACGGTGCACAGAAAACCGACCGAACACTAAGCAAGGGTGGCCTGCAGCGCCGCTCCGCAACAGAAGCCTGAGGCAGAGGCACGAGTTGTCGTTAAAAAAGGGAGACAGCGTCAGCTTCTGCCGCTTCAGCTCATCCTATACTGGCAGCTCACTGCCCGTGCCACCTTTGCTCAAAAAGTCTTTCCAGCTTACATCGCAGAAGGCTCATTTCAGATCTCCCGTTCAGCAGGCCTTGGCTGTTGCTGCAGCTGCTGAAAGCCAATTTGCCGAGTCCTGGGCGGAAGCATTCACAGTTCAGCCAGCTCGCATTCTGCCGGCTTGCAGCTGGGTGTCTGTAGGCGCGGTGTGCTCGGCAGGCTCGAAAGGCTCGGAGTGTCGGGCCTCAGCTCAGCCAGCAAGCATTTTGATGCGGAAACCGCTGGTCAGCAATAAAAGAGATGATGCTCCCTCAAGTCTGGACAGCCCTGCCGGCATCATGGGCTGTTGCCCTGCCAGCTGTTAGTATGTCAAACTTCGCTGAAAGCAAGGCGACTGCTGTGGGGACCAGAAGGCACGGTCCACGTCGCACAGAGCATTCTGTGAGTCCCTCCTGGCCGCTGTCAGATCGATCGAAATCAGGCGGAGGATGTGCCCACAAAGATGGATTGGGGCAGCTTTGCACTGCGTCTTGTGTCGTTCACGATACTACGGTGAGATTGTCAGGCAACAAAGGACTCAAAGGATGCACATGGCCATCATGGCATCGTGCAGCTTCCAAGCCCATGGCCCCGTGGGCGAATCTGCCGAGCGAAACCTCCTGGGCAACGCTTAGCAGAGCTGGGGAGGGGCATGCCATGTTCTTGCTCTGACGCTGGCCTGCACTGTGGGGCGCAGATGATCTTCGAATCAGGAGCGCAAATCCGGTGGAGGTGTGCGGAGAAATAGAAAAGATCCAAGAATCTTCGCACCAGAGCAGCAGTGCGTGACAGAAATTCTTTCAGGGCTCTGTGCCCTACTGCCCCTAATATAGTACCCTAAATAGTAGGATCCTTGTTATAAGGACCCCAAATATAAGGTACCCCCAATTCCCGGAAAGTCCCATCTTCGATTCATCGGTTTGGTTCGGCTCTGAGCACTCGGGCGACAAGACAGAGCGCGTTGGGGAGCAGGGCGAGGGCCTTCGACCTGAGCGAAACCAACGTCCCAGCAAGCTGACATGGGACTTTCCGGGAATTAGGGGTATCTTATTTTGGGGTCCTTATAATAAGGATCCTACAATTTAGGGTACGATATTAGGGTCCCCTATTTTCGGAAACCCCCATATCGCACTGCTGGGCCGAGCACACCAAGGCAAGGCCGTCACACTGCCTAATTAAGTCCAGGGCTGCTCGCATCGCTACCGACACTTGGCAGCCTTGCAGCAGAAGCCTGGCAGCAGAGGCCCTAAACCCTAAACCCTACACCTTAAACCCTAAACCCCAAACCCTAAACCCTAAACCAAGCCCTAAGAAAGAGTTAGAAAAACCTGCACCCAGCATCAGCATCCAGCCGTACCCGGCAAGTCTCTAAGGACCGGCGCCTCTGCCGGCTTTGCCACTTGGGCCTCACGGGTCACTGAGGGGTGCCGGTGCCGGTACCCAATAGGGTTTCGGGTTGAGGGTTTAGGGGTTTAGGGCACGAAGAACATCTCGTTGGACAGCATTGCCTTGGATACAGCTTCCGGCGGCATTCGGGACTTTATGCAAATGAGATATCTTGCACTGCCATGCTGTTGCCCGTGCCTCAACCAAGCTGAGAGGAAGCGGTGGCACATGCCTGGTGCACTCTGGATGCTGGATCTAGGCCCGTGCTCAAATAGAATAAAAATGTAGGTAAAGCAGAATAGAACGGAACAGAATAGAACAGAATAGAACAGAAAAGAATCAAATAGAATGGAACAGAATAGAATAGACTAGAATCGAACAGAACGGATTGTAATAGAACAGACAAGAATAGAAAATAGTATGACACAACTCGTTTATACTGTAGTGCAATTTTATGTAAAGCACTGTCATATCTAGCACAATAACATAGTAATATTCATACACAGAATACGATACATAGTATAAACATGTATGGTAGAATATCGCACTAGCTATGATTGTAATGAGAAGAATATGTACGAATAAGCATGAGTAAGAAGAACAACAAGAATGAGAATAAGAACAATAAGAGCAATAATAACTAGAATGGCCGCAATAATACAGGCGATATCCACAATAGTATGTTGATATTACAAGCATAGTACACTCATATACCAATACACTAATATACTTACATACTAATAAACGAATATACAAATCTGCTAACATACTAATATATTAATGTATATCGTACAATAAAGTATCATACAAGATACTATGCGAAAATATACCCTGTAGCATGTTATAGTACACTGTGAACTATCAAAGCATACTTTAATGTACAATCTACTAAACTATGATATACTACCAGTATGACGACGATGATATACTGTAATATACTATAATATACTATACGATGCTGAAAATCCACTTACACATAGAAATGATATAACAATGAAGAGCCGTAACGTGTGCACCGCAGAATATACAGTATAGGAAACACGACTTTAGGTGCATGTATGTATATGTATATGTGCACGGATATACTAAGATACATGTATATACATATAGGAGGAAAGAGGGATGGATAGTACGGCGCGCTACATAGAATGTAGAATATATAGTTTGCAGGCCATAGACAGTCTATAAAACAGAAAAGTGTTGAATATAGAACATAGACTCAGACCATAGAATGTGGAACATAGGACATGTAGTAACGATATATATATATATACATACATACATACATACATACATACATACATACATACAGCAATATGCATCAACAAAAATAATAACAATAATTAAGAAAGAATACGACATCATGTATATCACATAACAGTAAATGAAATATATATCATGTGTCATAAAAAATATGACAGGTGATACATATATATATATGTATGAAAAGTTCACTATGTTAAACTAATGCCAAATATATCACATGTAATGTATAATGTGTGTATATATATATATGCATATAGATATATATATATATATGTGTGTATTATATAACAAAGATCATATAACAACGATTTATATTGTATGAATATTGTACAACATATCACATGTGATGCAGCAAAATACAGAAAGCAATAAAGCAAATTACACAATATACTACATTGTATACTGCAATAATATGTTATAAAGATACATGGGTTAATATGCCATGCAGCCGGATATGTTAGAATATGTAAGATAATGAAGGAGCTCCATGCACATGGGACATCCTTGCCTCGGCTCAGCCGATGTTGATCTACTCAGATGTCCTGGTCTGACTGGAGAGCAGGGAGTTGGTCCAAGAGGATGCAGGAAGTTGGGGTTTAGGCTTACTTTCCGAAGCGGTAGTTCGGTTACGCAGCTTTGCGCCTGCGGAGCCCGCAGACGGGCTGACATCTCCGTCTCCTGCAGCAAGAAGATTTGCAGACAGGGTGAACCTTCTCATAAAATGGCATGCCAGGCTGTTGTCTGAGACGGGTTTCTCGAATACCTCTTCAAATGCATCTGAGGCCTGCTTCGGCCGTCTCCGCAGTCTCTTCCCTGTGGAAGGCCGGCGGACCACCAGTGCCAGCCTGCAAGAGGCGCCCTCCCTTCCCCCTTTCCTCTCCCAAAGGCCTCAGGGTCCTGGCCTCAGCAAGGCGCCAGAGCCGCGAAGCCGGAGATGCTGGGACCGAGCCCCCCCCTGCTGCAGAGACTCTTTGCAAGCGAAGAGCTGTGTCATGCACCGGGTCACACAGATGGTGTCCCCCCGTCTTCGGCCTGTGGCCGAAGCCAAAGGGACCTGCGGCGGCACGTTCTACAGACTCGCCCAGACTCGGCAAGCACACCCAAAAGAGCACAACATAGCACAGCCGGCCTCGGCACTGCCGGGTGTACCCGAGCAGGGGGACCAGTTGCCTTCGCGGAGCATCATTGCTTCATTGAAGCTGACACCGAGTCGGCCAATATGGGTTCACTAGATGTCACACTTGCATATAATCTTCAACCCGTGCATCTGCGGAGATGTCATTACTACAACCGCCCTCCAGCCTGATCCGCTTGCTGCAAAGGATGGTACGCCCTTGGTGTCAGAAGAGGAAGCTGGCTTAAAGCATCGAAGGCACCTTGCAGAGAACCTGCTTGGAAATCTAAGCGCGCAGCAGGCAGTTGCACTGCATCTTGGGCCTCCAAACTCATCCGCTTCCAGCTCCCACATGCTCCCACCAATCGGAAACAAATAGTGTACGGTTTAGGGTTTACGGGTTACAGGAATTTCTTCCTAAGAACACTGCTGACTTCCACGCAATCTGCTGCAGCTAGAATTAAACCCTAAACCCTAAACCCCTACACCCTAAACCCTAAACCCCGAAACCCTAAACCCCGAAACCCTGAACCCCAGAGGCGCCTCTCGTCTGACCTTTGCCAACTCCGCATGCCCAGACATCTCCAGGGCCTCCCAACAGGCAAGCAGAAGAAGAAGAAGGAACAAAGAATGACACTCATAGAAGTATTAAAAAATAACAAAACTACTTAGAATAACAACAAATGTAGTAATAATAACAATAATAATAGTAATAACAATAACAATGGCAATATCACTAATACTAACATTAACGAAAAAGAACACGAAGATGTATTGCTTATGCTGTTAAAGTCAATTAACAGTCACATTGCTGACAATTGTAACTAAAATGACGTCCCTGCCCGAAACCCCCACTATTCCCCCTTGAGGCATTCAGACGAAAAGGCAGGGACGTGCCTGCTTCCACGAGCATCGGTAGTGCTCCATCATTGCCTGAAAGGAGTTGAACTCTAAACCAAAGAAACCGGCCGAATTTGTCAGAGGGTCAGATGTGTTGGAGGACATGAGGCAAGAACAGCCTTCGAGAAATGCTAGAAACTCAACCTGCAGATCTATAATCTTACAAGGCCAGCGCGGTGATCTTTTTGGCCGCGTCACGGTACGGGAAACAGCTGTGCTAAATCTCTCAGGCACGCCGGCACATCCAATCCTCTTGGCTCGAACTCCTGCGGTCCAGCCATGAGGTTGCCGAAAGCCAAGACGGTTCGCAAGCTCTCTCTTATTCACAGAGCTGCAGCAGAATTTCTCAGACAGATGAACGGCGACGTTTGTTGAGAAGGCGAACTTGAGTATGCCCGGAACCTCGTAGTCGTCCTGGCCAAGTACTCCTTTGTTGGGCAGAGCTTTGCTGCTGAAGCCTGACCCGCAAAGAGCGCCGGCCGACTGTCTCATCGCAGATGCGGACAGATGGCTCACATGAGATAGGCTGCACACTATTGCACATGAACTACCGGTGACCCGGATTCCTGCCTTGAGCTTGCCAGAACTTCACCTGGCGAAGTCGGCCGAAGCTGAAAAAAAAAAGGCAACCTCTGTTGTGAGAGCTGGCCTGATGCTGGATGTGGGTTCCTCCTGCATAGAGCACCAGGATGAGCTGGGACTCCTCTGGCGCCTTGAGGATGGCCTCCGGGCAGCTCCGGGAGAAGGCCAGGCACATCTATGTCGCATCTACAAGGGCAACGGTCTCTTCAATAAGATATATATATATACATCTATGCTGCGCTGTTGGTGACCTTGGTGTTTTCAAGGTGTCCCTGAGCAGAGCTCCACCGTCCGGCCTCAGCTGTCCTCAGGACGGCGGCCACGTCCACTATGCCTCGGATCAGATCTCAGCTGAAGTAAAACGACTCAAGCCGGCGCAAACAGCAAAGCATCGAAGAGCTGAGCTGTGCAAGGCACACAAGAGGAAAGCGTCGATCAGGATCTTTGCAAGCACCCGCTCCCGACGAGTAGATATTCGTTCGTCTGGGTCAAACCTCGCGAGGCAAATTTTGCACCAAACCCTCGTCGCACCCTTGCGTCTAGTACTGCAAGACAGGTGGAACGACATTAAGTGCTGCCTCTCTAACTCCGCGAACGCGTCCGCAAAGTTCGGGATGGTGATGTCCTTCAGCCTTTACACGTGAGGTATGCTGCTCGCTGAAGGAGCTGCTCTCCACTTACACATCTGTCTAGGTCTGTGGTAAGATGCACAAATGCTGGCTAGATGCTTGTGCCGGTGTTTCTTGCTGTTTGGCCTCTTCTCGCTCGGGGCAAAGTCCTGAAAGGCTGCAGAATTCCGGGATGCCAGATGACACCAGATGGAGGCATGAAAACTTGTCAGTCCAGCTTGCGCAACTCGGCAGGGTCGCTGGAATCCACATCAGCATAGATGTCTGGGAACACTTCTCGGAGCCAAGCCTTCACGCATCTTCGCAGTCGAGCTTCACGGGCAATGAGCACAGGCAGACGAAGATACGCATGTCCTCGAAGTAGTCACCGTCTTCGTCAGCATTCTTCGGGTCGGCCAGTAGCTGCTCCACCTCAAACTGCCAGGCTTCTAATTTCTAGAAGGCAGCACCCACCCCCCCACGGCCGCGTGCCTGGATGCCATAAGCAGCTTGAGCTGCCGAGACGAAGGCCTCGCCCCCTGCTCGAGCGACTCGCTCGGCCAGCCCGGAGACCCACGTGCGCGGTGGGCTGGACCTCCAAAACAGAAAGCGCTTCCATCTGAGAGGCTGCATCAGTTCCAGCAGAAAGCACACAGTTCTGCGCAGCCACCCGCCAGCTTTCAAGTAGCAGTCGACCGGCAAGGCCTCCCCGAAGCCCGAAGAAGCAAGCCGAGAGATGAAACACCTACTGGCAGAAGCCTTCACGGCAATCGGTGGTCTCTCATGTGGCCGACGCTGCAAAGTCGCCCCCGGAGACTCCTTCGTTTTTTTTGTGGGGTGCAGAAAAGGAGCGGATCTCGGCTGTTTTTCCATTGCCTCGTAGGCCAGGGATCGAATGCGTGCCAGGGGCCTCAGCGACTCGAGGGCTATCCCTGGGCATTCTGTCGGCTGTCGGCTTTTTGTGGGGCACCGGGTCTGCTCATCCAGCTGGAGCTCTTCGCAGGCTTCCTGTAAGGAGGCTGTGCTGACGTTGCTCTATGCTGTCATCTGCTGTCTATCTGCTCTTTGCTTTGTGGTCTTTCCTGTACGGTACCGAAGAAGAGCCGATCGAAGAAGCTCCGCAGCTTCTCCGGGGATTTCACACACCTCGCAAGGAAGGGCGCATAGTCGGCCTTCACCTGGGAGCAACAAGGGAAAGATCCAACACAGGTCTTTGGCGCATCCGCCCCCAAACACCTCCGGGTGGTAGTAGAGCAGGTCGGCGGCAGCGCCGAAGAAGGACTCGAAGGACGGCAACGCCGGAGGTCGAGTCGAGTCTTCACAGGGACTCCCCCTCTCCGACTGGGGGCTCTCAAAGAATTATAGAGACGCCCGGATCTCGCCTTGCGTCGCCTTCGGAGCGGCCTTGCTGAGCTCCTCCTGCCAAGCCAAATCCGGAGTTTCGTCTCAATTTTTTTTGCACGACTCCCCGTCACTTGGTCTATCCTCCTCTGCATCTTTCATCAGCGGATCGACGCGCAGCCTCCGGAAGGATTCCCGGAGGTCAAGGTCTTCGCTGCCCTCAGCACATCGAAGCTCCGTGAAGCTCAATGGTGTATCAGACATCTTCTCACTTGTGCTAGCGGCTAGCAGCTAGCCTCGCCGAGCTCACGCGGATCCATGCAGTGCCTCGCGGCAAGAGGGCCGGGAGAGAAGTCGAGAGCAGTGATTTCAGCCGTGCCACAGTCGTTCTCGAGGAAGGATGCTCTGCAGCCGTCGGCGAAGGTGGTCAATGTAAGCATCGCTCCTTGGGCTTGGGCCATGCTTGGGCCATGCTTGCAGGTGGCAGCCTGCAGTGGCTTGCAGGGATGTGAGGCCAAGCTGCCCTCCGTCGTTCTCGTCCTCACTATCTGAATCTGAATCCAACTCCAGTCGCCGAAGGCTCTGGTGTGCCAACGGAGCAGATGGCACCCCTTCCTGACAAGTACTGCGAAGCTGGTACTCGTCAAAAACCGGGCCAGACGCGACTTACTCCGCGAGTGCACGGTCAGTATCGCTGCTGCGTCTTTGTTGTGTCTGCTACGGATCCTGTCCCCAGTGTTCTACAGTCGCACTTTCTGAGGAGGTAGTGATACATTATGATACATTGGTACATGCTTTGACGACTCTCTGTCTAATGACTGCACTGTTGATGGTGCAAGCAACACAGGGCGACGAGCGCCAGCTGCCTCGATGTGGAGCTCCACCTCATCAGCTGGTATCGGTGCTTCCAGCACCACTTCGATCGGAATGTTGGAAGACCTGCTCGAAGTGCGGTTCCAGCCCTCGTCCAACGGAAATCTGATCACGCTGTCAAGTCTCTCGATGTGTCGAACCAGCCAATCGTCGAATATCTCCAAGCCTGTCACAGTGTGCACCGCATAAGACCTTAAGAAATCTTAAGAAAAGACACTTCCCCAGCCTTCCGTTCGTCTCTGTGCCTTCCGCCTTTCGAGGAGGGCGTCCAGCTCATCCACTGGCATGTCCTCGAAGCTCCAAACCGCTCTGAGGCTGTCTCTGAGGTTTCGGCGCTCCTGACCATCTTTCCGGCGACGGCAGAAGTGGCGCGCCTCCTCCCGGATGCTGTGATGAGCTAGGCTAGGCCGAGGTTTTTTAAAGCAGAACGTGACCGCATCCTCGTCCAGGTCGCCCCATTCGAAGGCCACCTGAGCTCCGCAGGCAGTCTTGACCTAAGAGATTAGGGCAGTCCCGAACTCCGCCAAGCTGCGCAGCTCGGCGGAAGGGCGTAGCGAGGATGCCGTTCGGTGCCACGCAGAAAGATGTACGCCGAGCCCTTTCCTTTCTTTTTGCCACCGTCAGCCTGGAAGTGAACGGGTAAGGGGTTTGGGATAGCTTGCCGGCATAAGCAGCATGGAAGATCGTGCATGCAAAAATATGCAAAATACGTGTTGCGCACTACACGCTTGTCCAGTTGGTAGGCTGCGAACGATGAAGACGAGAATGGCGCCATCCTTCTCGACCTTGTTCTCTGGAGTCAGGTCGTCCTCTTCCTCGGATTCCGTCTCGCTGTCGCTGTCGTCCTGCACTGTATGCGCCAGAAACACCCTCTAAAGCTTCTCACTAAAGCATCTGTCGTCAACTCTGCGCATTTTCGCCGACAAAGAGCCTCCTCGCTTTCTTCAGCTTCGTCCAGTGTCTCCTCTGCCCATTGCTTTGCTTTCTCCAAGGAGACGCCTGTCAGGAGGCAGCGTACGCACTTACAGTTGGCACTCTGTCATGCAGTCGTTCGCAGTTGCACACCTATCACAGAGCAAACCCCAAAAACGATCGAAACACAACTGGTCTTTCTTTCCCTCCCCCCGATTGCCTACCTTAGACTTCCAGGCGTTGGCGATGTTGAAGCCACTTGCAGCAGCACCGGCAAGTTGGATCCAGTCTTCGTACCTGCACACGTGGAAAGGAGTGCAGATTCCGACGGCGGCTTCTCTTAAGCTGCGCACTTGTCAACAATGCCATCCTTCCGAGTGATGTCGATCGCGTCCTTACGTCCCCGCCCAGCTCTGAGCAATCGACGGGACCCCCCCACCCCCGAAAAAAAAAAAAAAA